CGGTTGTTATCAATTATTTTCCACTTCAATCTCGATATATAAATAAAATGTTTCTCGAGTTTAAGGAGAAATATATTCTTTCAATACATTATCGCTAAGAAAAAAATTGTTATGAAATTAATTTTTTGTTAAAACCATTCAAGTGTTCACTGCCTGTAAGGGTAGACAAAATTCAAGAAATGCTGTGTTTGTAGGGATGGGTTGATATGTTTTGCACAAATCCATGTATGTATGCATTAAAAACAATTGTCTGTTATTATTAAACACAAAAGACAAAGTTCAATTCAAATGCATAAATGGCCAAAAATGGCCAAAAGTTTAAAATTAAAAATATAATTATTTATTTAATTTACAATAATACTTATAATTTTAATTATAATTAATTTTTATATAAATGAACTAAAATTAGAATCTACTAAACCATAAATAACGCACAAAATTAACAGTCAATTTCTTAATTTTGGTATAACTTTTGCCGATTACGTCGGAATTGGAAAATTCCTATGGAATCTTATTCCACCCATCCATACCTATCCATTGATATATAATATGATATACTTATTTATAGAATACAAGATTTGATATTCAAATTTTTCCCGATAAAAGTGGTCACTACGGCCAGACCCGAAAGGATCTGGACATATAAAATACATCACTCAACTACCCATTGAGTGTACTTTCATTTTATAACAATAACTCCCGGGTGCACGTTGGCCAGATTTGAACATCGTCCTTTTATACATATATATACTGTACGTAATGTATGGGTTCAGTCAATGCGGAAGCGGAAAGAGGGGGAAAGGGTGCGCCTTAGTGTGAGTGCGGCCCACTGTTAGGGCTGTTATTATAAATATAAAATATGAAATGTTTATTAAAACATTACCCAAAGAAACCACGGATTCATTGCATTGCAGTTGTTTTAGTCTATTGTTTATAACAACTTGTTTTAGTCTTTCATTTTCCTCTTTACTCCGGATTAACTCCTATTGAATACGAATTATAAATATTTTAATTAATTAATTACTTGTTTATTAAAATCACACACTTTTCTCATTCCTGCGGCCAAACACTTGTCGAGCCGACACTTTTTACACCACTTTCTGGTCAATAGGTTTATAACGCATTCACCGTTTGATTGACAAACCAATGGCT